CCAAGCGTAATCCGACCTCATCAAGGGATGACCCATTATAACCCTTATCAATTTATACTCTATGTCTTTACAACATGGGTTTTTCCGAACCAGACTAGCCTTGCTCGTAAAGTTCAGTCCGGTCTCAGTTAACATCATTCGCTTTGTATAGTATACACATGACCACACTCCCATTGAATCTATGTTCCATTATATCAAAAGTTCAATTACAAGCACTCATAAGGCCCTAAATGGCCACACAAACCCACCAATATTTTCGCTCTCTCTCTCTCTCGCCTCTCTTACTATCTTTATGTCATGTATTCCTCTGTAGATAATTCTCTCTCTTTTAATTTATTTTTCTCTATATGTCATTCAAAAAATTCATTTTTCCTTAACCATGTATTCACATGGGAAGAGTGAGGGGGGAGAAAGAAATGAGAGAGGAAAAAGGAAACTCAAAAAGATTAAATTTGAAGAGAGATTGTTGGAGAAATTTAAGGAGGTGGAACCTTTTACCTTTTATTTTTAAACTATTTGAAAAGAAAGACAACTGTTGAAACACTTTATATATATATATATAAGAAAACACTACGCCATGCCTATAGACGAAAATGAACAGTGATTTCGCCTACCCCCATCACTGTTCAAAGTTCATCGCGTGGTCACGATTGTTCGATAGTGTTTTTTTTTTTTTTTGAAAATTAGAATTTCCTAAACTTTGGACCGTTTATTCATCACAAATAGGGGAATCTTTGAAAAAAAAAAAAAAAAATTTTACATGAAAACAATTGATCAAAATAACCCCGAAACTTTGAGGGGGTAATTTGATCAATTTTCTTTTCACCAATAATTATTTTTATATTTTTATTAGATGCATCTCAATAAAATGTACATACCCTCCAAATTTCAAATCATTCTGATTTATAGAAAAAAATGGAAAATAAAACACTACTAGACAATTATGACAGCACGATGAAATTTGAACGGTAATGAGAGTAGGTGAAATCACTTTTCATTTTCGCCT